TACTCATCAAGCTTCACAATTTGTGGAGAAATACAACTTTGGCGAAAGAAGGAATGGCTTAATCAGAACATATCTTTGTTTTGCAAGGGGGTCATAATTTGCATAAAATCTGGTCATTCCAAGTAAAATTAAGGGGCAAATTTTTAAATCTTGCGTACAGTATGTAACAAAATTGTAGGTGCAATTATTTACATAATTTTTATTTCGATATGATCCCATAATTTTCAGAATTTTCAGAACTTCGTGTGCAAATGCCAAAATTATGTCTGGACAATTTCCGCCTCGTCAATTTTTAATGTCACAGACAGGTCAAAGGTCAGATTTTTTTAAAAGATTCAAAATGAATGAATTCAAAAGTTTTGAAAATTTTGATAATTCTGGATCATATCGAAATAAAAAATATGTCGTTGCATCTACAATTTAGTTACATATTGTATGAATATACATCGCTCTAATCCAAAGTTTTTAAAATAAACCTTATCCAAAATTTCCTTTCCGAAATTTTCTGCCAAATTCCCATATTCCACTTTGTCTCTGCTTTTCTTCTCCCAAACCACCACCACCACCACCACTATCGCGACTCTCTCTTGGTGAAAGCAGGAGCACAGTGAAAGGAAATGCAATTCTGACCCGAAGTCGACTGCTCCGTATTTCTCATAGTGGATGCAGCACTGGGTCCCGTTTTCTCTCCATCCATTGTCATCTCTCCCCAATAAAAGTCTCTCCCTTTTCCGTTCGTCGTCATCAAAATGCACGAATTTGGCTGCACTTACCACCTCTTCCTCCTCTCATACACAAGAAGAAATCAGCCAGCAGACAGATTCCCCCATTTCATAATAATAAATAAGAGAAGAGAAAATACTGAAAATTCGACAAGTTGCTATCTATCTAGTCTTGCCGATTAGTGAAAATTAGAAATTTCAGACTGTACCGTAAAACTTTCTACATTTCCTTAAAGAAAAAAACTGCCTCATAAAAAAATCTGTCTAACTCGTACATATGCCAAAAATCTTCAATTAATTAATCTAAAAAAAATTGTAAAATTCTCCTCACATTTTCATCTCAGCTCTCATTTCAACCTGGTGCAGATTAGTGAAAATTAGACATTTCAGACTTATCTATAAAACTTTCTACATTTCCTTAAAAAAACTGGCTCATAAAAAATCTGTCAAACTCGTACATATGCCAAAAATCCTCAATTAATACTCTCCAAAAACTAAAATTCTCATCTCAGCTCTCATTTCACCCTCGTCATCTCAACTTCTTCTTCTGCATTTCACCATTCTGCATAATATAATATTACGTATTCCCATCGACGATAAGCTTGTTGATATTTTTTCCTCGAGATGCAGCCGGAGGTATAAAATCTCTTCCAGCCGTACGAAGGAGAAAAAGGTCTCTTCTCTTCTATTCTACACAAAAGATTGTAGAATTCAATGCCTCGCTGGCTGGTTGGCAGTCGAGAGTGAAGAAACTGGAGCGAGCATTATTATGCAACTTTCTTTATTCTCTGCTCATCCTCATCTTCTTAAACTTGGCATAATGTGGACCCACGGACCCATAAAATTGCTCCTCAGTCCTCTCCTGCTCTTTCAACATGGTCAGAAGTACAAGAAGACAGTCAAAAATGTTACACACACTTTTAGACGCAACCAAAGATCCACCTCTTGTGAGGCAAAACATCAGCACGATACGTATTTTCAGTTGATCTTCACGGATACAAAAGATGCATAAAAAGGTTAAGAGTTGCAGCAATAAAGGGATCAATACTACATATAAATTGCTTAACAGAAACTTGCAAAAAACGGTGGGGCATCTTGCAACGAAAATTTACATACTTATCAAAATTGCTTAATAAAAACTCGCAAAAAATACCACGTGGGGCATGTTGCAACTTACTTATCAAAATTCATCCCATGTTCTCCCCGTTTAGATAGCGATCCAGTTTTTATTACGGTTGAGGAGAGTTTTCATTTTTTTCGTTTTTCTTGCCGTCATCTTATCCTCCCCTTTCACACCCACCCTCTCTCGGTTTTTATTATTTATTTTATTTCATTTCATTTCATTCGCAGAAACACAAGTATGAGTGAATCTGTCATGGGCAGTAGAGCAAATAAAGGAATATAAAATCCAGTCCGATTCTCCGAGACTTCCTTGTTTGCAGAGACTTTTACTTTATCGGGTTGAATATTTTGGTCGTGTGGTGTGGTGTGGTGTGGCGTGTAGTTGATATTTTTATGGATTACCACATGAATGAATATTTATTTAGAGAGAGAGAGAAGGAGAAGAAACAGTGGCCGCGGAAGCTGTGGGGACATTAACATTGTAGGATGGGGGAGGGCGGGGTTTATATAAGGTGGGGAGACGATGCGGACATGAACAACTGTGGGGACATTGTCCCCTCAACCTTCCGCGGCCAATGAGCATCATCATCTATTCCATTCCAACAGTGACGTTCCAGCTAAAAAACAGAGCTCTGATTTTCGAGGGGGGAACAAAACGAACGATGCGATGATGTTGGACGTGAAATGGAATAGAAATTATTGATGTCACAAATTGATATGGCACGTCAAGTCAGAATGCCAAGCCAGAGACCAGACCACTACGTATGCATACCCACCCACCCACCAACCAACCCCCACCATCAAAATCAAAATCATCATCTACCCTTCCATCTCCCACCACCATGGCCACACTCTCGATAAGTTGATGCGTTATTATTAACTTCACTTTACACTTTTGAATTTTGAAGGCGACCAGAATACGGAAAACGTATAAATTTATCCCCTTCTTCTACACGAAATCAGAGGCATCAACATCTTCCTCTCTTTATACTTATTGCGCAATCGGGATGAAATTCTGGAGGGGAGTATCTCCTCTCTCTGAGAGAGAGAGGGATAGTAAAATTCCTCCATTTTTTCTGGGTGGTGGGTGTTCCTCTCTGGGTGAAAGTGAAGAATTTATTAATTTTGGAAATTCTTCAGAAACTTTCCAACGGAGTGGAGGAGGAGAAGAAGAGGAGGGAAGGAAGTTGGTGGTGGGTGAAAGTTAGGGAAGAAAAAACTACTCGAGATTTATGACGAGCTCTAACGAAAGACTAAAGAGAGAGGATTTACATTTTGATTTTTTATGACAAATATCCACTAAAAAGAAACCTGTTATACGAGTCAATTGGTTAGAGGGATTTGTTTTATAGGTACAAATTCTGACTGAATATTTCTTTTTTTAGGGGGGAGGTAGATTCCTTCTGATTTAACAATTCTACCATGATCATCGCCATATTAACTCCGAAATCCAGTCAGTCATCCATCCGGTCAATAATATTCCACTTTTACTTACTCCGGAAGTAATTGCGAGTTAAGCTGTTCCCAAATTCCATATACGCACCGATTCAATTGTATTATTCTTACATTATTGCAATACCAATGCAATATTGCTGTCCATGTTTCGCCCAAGGTGTCGTGGTCGTGATTGGAGTAGAGAAAGCCGTCCATTAATAACATGACGGAATATCATGTCCCCACCCCTCCAGAGAACGTGTGGCAATAAGAAGATTGCGCCCGGGTGACGACTCAATCACGGGGATTAAGTGTGAGAGTCGGTGATAATCAAACAATTTCCAGGGATTAGAAATCGTTGACTAGTCAAGTACAATGAACACCTTCTCTCTCTCGCAATAATGCCCGGCTTATTTACACTCTTCCGCATTTTTTCATCAATTTCACCCCGGAATTTAATATAAGTAATATTATATTCTTGGAAATCCGAATTCTTCTCTGATTTTTTTTCCTGGATGAAAAAGTGTGTTGGCACGTAACGTACGAGTAATAAATTACTGGGAGAACTCAACCTTATGTGTTTTACTACCAGGCAGCTTTTTAGGTGATGATACAGTTGAGAGATTTTTCTCCAATTCTTATATTTCTCCACACATTTATCAAGTGAAGGAAGTTGTTTGGGCTGATGGAGGACATTAGGCTTGACATTAGCTTGGGCAAAATGCGAACTGCGTTACTCTTATAATTCACCCAAAACGACCCTGTTAAGCCTCCCGACTACTTAGTTTTTGCGGGTATCGTCGTACTTGTCATGGGTTGTGGAGACGGTTTTTAAATATGGACGTGGTGGTAAAAGACCGAGAAAAAAACTGGATATATTATGTATTTTTCCTCCCAAATTATTTACATACGTTATGCAATATTCAAATTGACTGGGGTGGGTTGTAATTGTTGCGAGATTGCAAATTAGTGGCGAAAAAAGAAATGAATCTTTTAAACCAACTTCTTCTCCGCAGCGATAAATCAGTCAAAGAAACTTTTCATGGAGTGGAATGGAATAACAAAAGTTGACTTATCACCACTACTGAAACCACCATTATTACAACGGCAGACTGAACAAGCCCACTTATCTGATGTAGATAAGTGCATGTTCCATTTGTTTTGTGTAGAAATATAGATACATACATATTCAGTGAGGCAAACATAGAATAAAATCCGGGTAGTTGAGGGTGGCATCATACGTAATAATCTTATGTACCGAACCGATTTTCGGATTATTTACTCTCATCCTCCCATGAAAATGCAAATGCAAATAGTGTAGATGGATCATTGTTGGGGCCAGTAAAAGCCGAACTTTTCTTCTAATGGGATGCAATGGAGAACGGAAGTTGGGCAATTTTGTCTCAATAAAGTGATACACATATTTCTTACTTCCTTGTCAAATGCACATAATGATTTTCTTTCGAGGGACGATTTATTTATCCCATTTTATTTATTTTTCGGGAAAGGAATGTAAATTTTTTGGGGAGAATTTTGTTTTGTCAGGGATCACGAAAATAAATATATGGTGAAAGCAGTAGAGAGAAAGAAATGTGGAAAATAGGGGAAATTCGTGCTAGCTGGCAAAATCCGGGGATTTCTACCAAGTAAAGTGTATGCCATCTACGCACTCTGAGGAGAAACTGAACCTTTGTTGCTTGTTAAAAATGGAATAATCGCTTTATTTACAGTGTCATTTTGAGTCAGTTACATTATTTTTACTTCCGGATACAATCAATTTGCCTGGATTTTCTGATTACTACATGATTTACCAATTCCTTTACCAGGTGCCTTTACCCCCAGAACATTGCCAAAAGAAAGTTTGTCTTGCATCTCATGGCAGATGAGGAAAACACGTTTTTCAGCATATTTGTGCAAAAGTGGAAGACGATGAGTGCTATCTGATTCAGGTTTTCCTCTGAAAATTTCGTAGCTTTGTTGTTCGATGCGAAATTGTTGGTTGCAGCAGTCAAGATTTGGAGAACGGCAAACGCGCTTATCATCAGGGAACAATCCGTGAGCAGACTTGTCTAAAACAATTATTTGAGTATCATTTTCCCTTGTAGTAAATATGAACGAAAATTAATTTATGTATTTCATTTACCTGAATTTCCATCCAAAGCGGAAATGGATTCTGATAATAGTACCTCATGAACATGATAAAGGCCCATTCAACGATGTAGTAGGCCAACATTACAAATTTGACGATCTCTGTGTACTCTTCTTTCATCCCGATGAAGTCAACTGCTGTGAGGAGGATAGCCATAATTATGATTTCCTTGACCTCGTGTTTCTACGAATTAAATAAAAAAATGTGCCATCATTTTTCATCATGCAATCATCATTTTTCTAGTGGATGGAAAGATTTCCAATGAAAAATTGAACTTACGAAGCTGTCATATGGAAGCGCCATGATAAAATCGTAAAAGAGTGACACCACGACACGTTGAGAAGAAAAGTATTATTGTTTTGAACTACCAATAAGGACCTTAGCGTTTCTTACGCATAAATTTCATAAATGTCAAATTATCGTGTTTGATTAGTAATTTTGTTACGTTGAGTCACTATGGCGTCGCGTCGCGTAATTTTGTAAATTTGCCTCCATTTTCAGCAATTTTATGCATGCCTTTGACTCAAAAATGTTACAGACGTATGTATATGGTACTAAATGTTACTGTACATTACTATAAATATATGTACATATGCTACTCATACTCACAATTTGCCATTAATTTGGTACAAATTACCAAGATTGGCTTTATTCCATTTACTTATGTCTCCTGACAAAGTTAAGTGTTGTCCTAAGCATGATAGATAATTAAATCAAGTCACATTACGCATTACGCACACCACGGAACGAGGGTTACATGCACTCAGATTGGAAAGGGGCATAATACATAATAGAATATGGAAAAGGGTACGGTGAGTGTGTTCAATCAAATTGCATTAAATTTGGTTCGACACTAAAGTGATCGAAACGAAGCGACAAAGAACATATGCAGCCCTTCTCGTTTAATGAAGTGAAATGAAAACATGACCCTTTTTCGAGTAAAAATTAGTAAATGATTTAGAAATTTTAAAGCAATAACGCAAGAACACCTCCAAAAAGTGTCTAAAATCTGTGTCTAAAATCTGAAAATTAAATCTGAAAATTTGAAAATAAATCTGAATAGGTACCTATAAATAAATAAATCTGAAAATAAATTTGTATCTAAATTCTGAAAATACAGTTTGCATAAACACATAACTTATTTGACAATGCAATTTTCATACTGCAAATTCAACGCATTATATATCGTCTCATTTAAATAAAGTTAAAACATTTTCCTCATTGCAAATTCCATCCTTATTTTTTAAATTAGCTTTATCTCTCAAGTTTAGTTTTCAACCAGCCAGCTCCGGAGAAAGTGAGACTTTGTGTATCTGACAGGGACGATAGAACCCCATGCGGAGCGACTCTCCTCAGTCCCCCACAACGCGAAGCCAAGTGTCCAACACACAATCCAGCCTATTATTCTCTCCCCGAAGTCCCACCACTACCCGGGCATTAAAAATATTACGGTTTCCTTTTCTCTCTCTCTGCATCTACGGATGAGTTATGGGCGATGAATTAAAGTAGCTCCTCATTAGCGACCGAGTGTCCATTTGTCTCCACGTCAGCCGCACTCGAGGGCAAGAAATATGGACCAGAGCTTTGTCTTTCTGGTCAACCAAATGCCCGCCTCCGGGGTCTGGTTAAGAAAGGGTTTAATTGTGGGGAAAAGTGGGTGGTTGGTTGGTTGGTCCGGGTGGAAAATGGACAATTTAATTTATTACGCACTGGGCAGCACAAGAGATGTGACTTTCTCTGCCAAGAAATAAGTAAAGAGCGAGTGGAAGACAATGCAGGGAGGATAAATTACTCGAATTTAGGACTGATTTAAGACAAGGGGACGAGTTGTGGGTAAAAAAAGATTAGTGTTAGATTTTGCATAGGCACGACATGTATGTAAATTATCTATGTGATGTATGTACGTTGCAAAAGGGGGATTTATTTTCTGGTGAATAATAAGTTGTTTGAAATTAAAAGATTACATGAGGAGAAAGCTCCTCAAGTTTAAGAAAATCGTAACTTTCTCCTGTGACGCCGGACACGTCTTTCGTTCTTGTCCTTGTGTTCTTGGGACGTCGACTTTAGACCATTGAAAACCGGACTTCTTTTGCTTTTGTTATTGGAAAAACCAAAAAATTTATATTTATTTTGAAGCGGTTCAGTTCGTTGGTCTTTTACATGTGTATTGATCGTTTAGACATTATTATTAGTCTGAGGATGAGCTGTGTAATTGCATCCACTTTAAAAGTTCCAACAATTTTAACAGATTTTATTAAATCTCAATATTTTTTATCCACACTACTGTTCTGCCATTTGTGTAATTTCATTCCCAAGAGCATACGAAATTTCGTACAATTCTAACTGTATGAATTCGTCCAATCCTATGATGCCGTCTTCGTCATAGTCGCGATTATGGAATTCTTGATAAAACATAATTTCTCTTAATTACAACAACAAATCCATTAATTTCTATAAGAATTATGACATTACCTTGACTTGTTTGGGTCCAGATGTCCAACATCGGAATGTCGCTTTCGGAAGAAAGCATTAATACCTGCGCAATAATTATTTAGTTTGATAAGTACGTTATCTATTTTATTTTTAATTTAACGAGAATTGCAATTGCTTATACCTGGGCCCACTCGTACTTTGTAATTCCATGATTTCCGTCCAGATCGTAAAGCTGGAAGATTATTCGAATCGCTTCTTCCGGAGAAATCGCGGCCGGGCCGAACTGATGGGTGAACTCTGAATACCAAATTTTGAAAAAAATATTATTGTTCATAAGAATGTTAGAAAATTTTAGAAAAATTTTAGAAAAATTTTATCCACACAATTTTTACCAGATTTTTTTCTAAAAAATTCACAAACCTTCATTCGAAATATAGTAATCTTCATCGCCATCCATTATACTCAACAATCTGATAAGATGCCATCTCGCAGCGCCCGTGCTCTCTCGCAAGTATTTCTTGATAAGTTGATATATCGAAACGGGTCCTTTATTGTAGGCCGCGAAACCCGCGCTCATCAGGTGATGGCCAAGCTCGGCCACTAAAAACGTAAAAAAAATTTTTTAATTAGGAGAAATCTTTTCGGAAATTTTGAACGAAAAATTTAATATTTTAGCCACCGTCAAAGTCGTCGTCATCGTCTCCGTCTGTATTATTTGTTGGGGGTCTAACAGTGGCCACTGGTGGCTTATCCGTTACAGGAGGTCGAACAGTGGCAATGGGTTCCTCATCTAGATCTAGCGGCATGATGTAGTAGTTGTCGTCGTCAGGTCCATAATCGGCATAATCGGCGTAATCGGCATAATAACTCGGAGGTCCTCCTAAAATGAGAGAGATTTTCGGAAATAAAATTAGATTTCGAAAAATTACTTGGTAAAAATAATACCAAATTGTCCTACAGCGAGATGTGTAATGATCAAGAGGAGAAAGATGGGCAAATGTAGGCACTCCATCTTAATTAAGATTATGGGGAAGAAAATGCAGATAAATTAAATGCCCAATTAGTTAGTGGCTAATTATTGCTTAATATGCGGACATGTCACCATATTGCAGTAATGATTATTCATGTCATGTATCCGTTCGGCCAATTTGAATGTTTTGGTTTATGCATAAGGAGTTTACAAACAAAGTTTTGACTTCCGGGAATTTACTGACTTTTGTTGACTTTTGTAAACACTTGTACATATAACAGACTATTTGTATAAAAATAAATCCGTAGATTTAATAATGTGATATAATTTCGGCGAAAATTATTCATCATAAAATGCATTTATCTCTCTTGACCCCACTTTCACTCTTGCATTTCCTCGGTGGCCTTACAGCAGTAAAGATGAGACCAAACTTTGGTAAGATCAGGGTGAGATTTTCTATGTATTTAAAAAACAAATTATAGTTTTATTTAGCCCGAGTCAGGTTGTTATCAATAACAACTTTTTTATTTTTCCATACATTTTCCTCATCTTCGAACTTGATTCATAATTTTGCATATTCGACGTGTACAAAATTTTATATAAGTCGATTGAGTTTTTATTCTATAACTTGTATACTTGTAAGTTGTATTGGACGCGCATAATCGACAGACAGACAGACAGACAAACAACCATGACGGGTACATAAGCCCTGACTCGGGCTAAAATTTGCAAAATTGTCTCATCTTTATCAATTTTATTTTTAACTATTCAGCTCCAAGTCACCCGTACCACACCCCTTCCGAGATCTACACCTCCCCCTGCACCATCCCCGAACAGTTTCGGTCATGTTGGGTGAAAACCGTGAGGCCAGGAGAGTCCTGGACCGGTGTCAAGATAAACCCTCCTGCGCCCGTCGATAAGTTCGTCCTCCTTCACCCCACACCGAGAGGAACGTTTCAACATGCTCATCGCGTCTGTGAAGCGTGTGACCTCGAAGTGGCCGAGGTTTGGGATGAGGACGACTTGGAACAATTTCTGGGCGTGATGGGAGGTTGGATTAATATGCATAATTTGGAATTTTAAAATTAATAGAAATTATAGAAAAAAATTCAAGAATTTTCAGAAAATGATACAAGTTCATACTGGATTGGTGCATTTTTGAATAAAAATCAGCAAAATGACAAATTCCGCTGGACTTATCAAGACGGGAAAACGTTCGTCGGTTTCAAAAAGGCGATTAATGAGAGTAATCATGACCTAAATGTGAGACTTGTACAGTGAGTAGTGCTTATCTTAAGATAAGAAGTGAAAGTGTCTAATTTGCATATTTATTTCTTTATGCGTCTTAGACCACTGAAAGGAATTGCTTAACCCTCTCAAAGAAGGGAGACTATTCAAATTGGACCGTGACCCCGTGCAGCACCGTAAATTCGATCATTTGCCAATACAAGAGAAAGTACGACTGCTACCAGAACATGGCCCCTTATTCGCTAACTTTCATGAAAAATGGGCATTATTTCAGCACCAAAGGGGTAAAAATATTATCTAATTTTAGCCCGAGTCAGGGCTTATGTACAAGTCATGGTTGTCTGTCTGTCTATCAATTACGCCCGTAAAATTTATCCAATCGACTTAAAATTTTGCACACAATTGTCTGTGTGCAAAATTCCACAAAAATCGGACCAAGTAAAAAATCTGACCACATGGGTGAAGACCCGCACTTCTGAATGGGAAAATAACTTCTCCATCCCGCTACCACATCCACCACGCCAGTTCTCGCAACGGAGCCCCCAAATTGATTCAACTGTCAAGAAAGTGGAGGCCAAACTCGCAGATGGCGACATTCGAGGAGCAATTCGTCTTGCCTGCTCTGATGACACCATAGCCCCAAACGACGATGACACTCTAAGCGTCCTCCGTGCGAAACACCCGGTACACCCAGAGCCCACAAACTATCCACAACCACTAGCGGATGACTCCGTGATTGAAGCAGTACACGTTCCTGAAGTAGCTAAGGCCGTATCCACTTTCCCCCCAGGTTCGGCAGGAGGACTCGATGGTTTGAGACCCCAAATTCTAAAGGACCTACTCAGCTGCAATCAGGGGGAGACAGGAGAACACCTCGCCCAAGCAATCGCAGATTTCCTCAACCATGTGATTGCTGGAAAAGTCCCTGCAAAGCTGTGCCCAATATTATACGGAGCATCTCTCACGGCGCTGAGGAAGAAGACTGGGGGTATCAGACCCATCGCGGTGGGAAATACGTGGCGCCGACTCGCCGCCAAGGTCATCCTCGCTAAGATTACCCCCCAACTTATCGACCACTTTTCACCTCATCAGTTAGGCGTTGGAATAAAAGGTGGCGCTGAGACCGGTGCCCATGCCGCCCGTGTATACTACAACTACCCTCACCACACCCCCAAAGCATTCCTTAAAATTGATTTTAGGAACGCATTTAATGAAGTGAGAAGAGACACTCTACTGCACACTGTTCGTGATAATTTTCCATCAATCTTCCCGTTCGTGTCCCAATGCTACGCTAACCCGTCATCACTTTTCTTCGGGACAACATCTCTCCCTTCGCTTCTGGGTTGTCATCAGGGCGACCCTTTGGGCCCTTCTCTGTTTTCTTTGGTCATCCACCCCATAATCAAGACTTTGGACACAGAGCTAAACGCATTGTATCTCGACGACGGGACTATCGCAGACACCCCGGAAACGGTACTAGCAGCCCTTGAGAAAGTTTCCAGAATGGGTGAAGAAGTGGGGCTTTATCTCAACCACAACAAGTGTGAGGTTGGAGTATTGGGGGCGGACGACGACACCATCACCCAGATTTTTCAAGAATTTCAAAATTTTGCCCCAGGAATCCAACTGATAACTAGAGAAAATGCAACATTATTAGGTTCTCCTCTTACCAACGAAGCCATGGAGGCGGTTTTGGCTGCCAAAACGGAGCAATTGGCAACTTTCTCCAAACGTCTCAAGAAAATATCTGCCCACTCAGCTTTCTTCCTCCTCCGAGCTTCTATCTCCATACCTCGTTTAATATACTTTCTCCGATGCTCACCGTCGTGGAGAAAAAGGGAGGCCCTCGCTCTCTATGACGCTACACTCAAGGACGCCCTGGAGGGGATCCTTAACTGCTCACTCTCGGAGGCTGCATGGATGCAGTCCTCTCTACCCGTGAAAGAAGGTGGCCTTGGGGTCAGACATGCTGAAGATGTAGCGATACCGTGCTTTCTTTCGTCAGTCTACAGCACCCAACCCCTAATGGAACAAATTCTTCCGGTTTACCTACATGGTTCCGATGCCGCCATTGCGGAAGGAGAGGAACGATGGACTTCTCTTGGCCCAACTAATCTTCCTCCCAACACAGTGAGAGGATTACAGACAGCATGGGAGCGCCCCATCATCGACATCACAGTGTCCCACTTAGTCGTCGCCGCAGCCACGTCTGAAGATACGGCTCGCCTATGTGCTCTTCGCGACAAATATGCAGGAATATGGTTCAACGCTCTCCCATCTCCTCATATCGGCACCCTTCTCTCGAACGAGGCATTTCGCATCGCAATTTCCCTCCGTTTAGGTTGCGATGTTTGTCAACCCCACACTTGCCCGTGTGGAGCGCAAGTCAGTTCACGAGGATATCATGGTTTATCCTGCCGACGAAGTGCTGGTCGGTGGTCTCGCCACGCAGCCGCTAACGACGTAATCGCGAGGGCGCTTCGATCAGCTGATGTTCCCTGCATCCTTGAACCACCCGGATGTTCACACCAAGACGGAAAGCATCCAGACGGGATGACTCTCGTTCCGTGGGCAAGAGGAAGATCCCTTGTGTGGGATTTTACCTGCGCTGACACCTTCGCACCTAGTTATCTCCCCGAGACAGTCCGCCACCAAGGAGCAGCAGCAACAAAGGCAGAAGATAGAAAGAAAAAATTGTACGCCTTTCTCCTGGACCGATTCATCTTTATGCCCGTTGCAATTGAGACGACAGGTACATGGGGTCAGGAGGGGTTATCCTTCATTAAAGAGATTGGACAACGGATCGCTACCGCGACTGGAGAACCACGCTCCACAACTTTTCTCCTCCAGCGACTCGGCATTACAGTTCAACGTGGAAATGTAGCTTCAATCCTGGGGACACTTCCACCAGGAAAAAAGTTTAATGAAGTTTATTATATCTAAAACTACCATGTATTTTACAGACATTGTTACTCTGTACAGAAATAAGTGTATTTTATATTCAAACTAAATTTTTATTGTCTGTGGAAACAATATCTTTTATGTAATTTATTTATTTATTTATTTTCTAAAAATACACCCGCTGGCGTCCAACTTTTGCCTAATTTGCTGCATTTTCGTCTTATTTAACCTTTTAAGCATTTACATTTTATAGTCGAAAATGGGGAATGAACTTTGACCATGAATGTCATGGAGAAAAATTTTACACCAAGTTTCCTAAACCATGGTGTTCATGTCATATTTTTTACACATCGAAAGACCAAAACCATGTTAGTCATGGTCGCAAAAATTTGCATTGCAGGACCAATACCATCAAAGTCATGGCGATTGTTTTTGCAAGAAAATACTTTGACCATGACATACATGGAAGTCGAAAATAATAATTTCCACAGCTTTTTAGCCCGAGTCAGGGCTTATGGAACCGTCATGTCCGTCCGTCCGTCCGTCCGTAAACAGGATAACTCTCTTTAAACACAAGCTACCAACTTGAAATTTTTACCATGTGCATATTGGACAAAGTTAGGAATCGAGTTCGAAGATGGGCGAAATCGGTTAACTGGTTACCCGGTGGGGGTCATCTGAGTGGGTGGGGTCTTATGCACCAAAATTTCAAAATTGTCGTAGAAAGCTGAAATTTGGCACAGAGGTTGCTAATGGCTCCTAATAGATAAAACCTACAGTGCAGACTCCATATAGCCCGAGTCAGGGACATAGTCCCTGACTCAATAAGTCAGAGCCCGCTTCTAAATTTTTTTCCGAATTGACCAACATAATATCACCAACTTCCGTGTTGTGGATGGTTAAAAGTTTGTTAGATAGTTTCTATTATTTGGTCCCAAATTTTTGAGCAAGTTACAGATCATGTGTCTTGACCACCATGACCAGTGGGCTTCTTTAACATCCTGAAGCTCTAAGCTGTATGTATGTGCTATCCAGCAGTGGTTTTCAGCCTCCATATCAAATTTCAGCTCGATATAATGATTTTGAAAAATCAGTATGGGTCACCCCATAGGGTCACTCTGGTTGCACTTTACTCACTTTTAACTTCATATTCTTTAATTAGAAGCCATTAAGTACCATTGTGCCGGATTTCATCTTTTTAAAGTAATTTCTAAAAATCAGTATGGGTCACCCCATAGGGTCCCTCAAGATTAAAATTTTTCCAACCTGAAGTTATTTTTTTCTATTAGGAGCCATTAGCAACCTCTGTATCAAATTTCAGCTCTCTACAACAATTTTGAAATTTTGGTGCAAAATACCCTACCCACTTATATGACCCCCACCGGTTCAAAACTTTTCTGATCGAACCCATCTTCTAACTCGGTCGTTGCATTGCCCAGATACATGTCTGCACCAAATTTGGTCAAAATTGGTTAACTCGTTCGACAGTTCGACTGACATGACAATTACATAAGCCCTGGTTCGGGCTAAAAATCACGACTCGAGAAAAAGTCAGTCTTTGGATGTAATCCGAATATTTTAACGTTGCGATAGGATTAAAAGTCGACAATAATTACTTAATAAATTTCGTAAAAAATTGATATATGTAACTAAGGACGGATCTTTTTAATTGTTGTGTTTTCGTCCGGCACTTCGTGTAAAATTGTTCGCCATGACATACATGGTCAAAATGCTTAAAAGGTTAAGGAGATGACCATGCAGGGACAGAGAAAAATTTATAAATAAATGGCATTCGAATTTAAGATCTCCAAATTAAGCCCACTGTGGGCTTAATTACCCAATGTTAAAGCTAAGCTGGATTGGGATTGACCATTTAAACACATTGATTCATCCGGATTATTTCCCAACTCTGATCCCATATAACTCATCGATCTATTAGACAATCGTGCATTTTTGTTTTCTTGCAAAATATACAAACTGGCGTCCAATTTGTTCTGTGCGTGGAGTTAATTTGCATCGATCTTTATGCATTTTGTTACACGTAGAATATGCCAATTATGAATCAAGTTGGAAGATGAGGTAAATGTGTGGAAAACTAAAATAGTTGCCGTGGTCTATTATACCCGTCTCAATTATTGATGACAACCTGACTCGGGCTAAATAAAGTTATACTCTGTAGAGTTGCGTATTCTAAAATTTCGTATAAAATTCCGTATAAAATTCCGTATAAAATGCCCTAAATTTTATTTCTAAGCTCTCCTGGACTCTTGCCTCCCACACGTGTCACTCCTCCTCTTCTCCATCAGCCCTCTCTTTGCTCTACTTTCATCCCGGCATGACCCCCAACGTTGCCTCGCTTCTCGCCGAATATCTTCCGCTTCACCGTCAAAACCCGGCCAACACGGAAATGTGGACGGGAGGAAGGTTCGAGGGAGGAAAACTGTTCTGGAACATGAATTCTGGTCAGAAAGTGGAAGTTCCAGACTGGAAGGAACACCGCTGGGGGAAAGAACCCAGTTTAGAAGAGCTGGAGAAATCGCCCTGCGTTTACATTAAACTGCAGGACCAAGAGCTTAAAATGTTTACGGGGGACTGCGACACGGACAGATTTTTCGTGTGTAAAAGTCCAGATGATACGAATGGTGAGGTCAAATTAAATTGGTATTGTATGATTTCATGGTCAAAAAATGCTAATTTTTATTTACCAGACCCGATGATCCGTTATTGCGAAAACAATTTTCTAATCGAACGCAAGTCATCGGAATGTAAGTGGAACTGGGTATTCGACAAAAAGCCGGCTTGTCTCTGTTTTAAGGGGGTGTAAGTTTTTACATTTTGAACGGATTTTTTTTACCAAGACACTTATCGAAGCACGCTTATCAAAAAACTACGTTAATTAATTTAGTCATGGTCTGACATCCCACACCACGTGCAATACTCGCCTCCTCGTGGCCCCTTCGCAGCAGATTCGTTGTATTAAAATGCCTTCTTTTCGAAAGAGCATTTTGCACTGGAAACCAATTCCAGATGTCGATGCACAAGAGTCCTTCCTCCTCCTGCAGAATCGAAATCGTCGAGGAAACAAGTTCATTCAGTGGATCAGTCTTAAACCAGGGTCAAAACGACAGATTTTTGGTGATGCGAACGTCTACTTTAAAGGACTCTCGGTCTCTCTGCCACCTTCATCGAAAATTGGGACAAAGTATTGCTTTGAGAGAAATTCGGGCGAGAAAGAGGACGATGGAGGAGGATCGTCATCGTCGTCCTTTAGCGAAATTCGGATACGAAACGAAAGTTTCTGGATAATTTTTGCCGATATTGACACAAGTTGTGGGGGTGGGAATAAAAATACCAATATGAGGATTAAGGGACACGTTTTTTCAGGATTGAAGGGTATCGCATTGCAATTTCTATTATATACCTGAGACGTATTTATTAATTGCTACGCACCAAAAATTTGCTTCTGACGTCAAAATGACACTAATTCCAGATGAATGTGACCTCAAATGCAGTCCTGATGATAATAACGAATATTCTGCCCTTCTTGCAACCACGCCAAAACCAGCTTCATCCCCACAACCCACCAACCTCAACTCGGAAATGTTGAAGCATATGGTGGATTCCATGTTCACTTCCGGTGTCAACTCGACACAAAAAGTTGTCCTGCCCGACGCCCGCCTCAACCTCCTCGAGAAACTGTTTGACATAGCACGAAACGTATGCTCGTGCATGGTACCCACTACTTTTTTGGACAATGCTCTCCATCTTTTTAAGGTATAAATCTCTTCAAAATGAAATTTTGACGAGTGAAATTGTAATTTTATAAATTATCACCCCGGCCAAGGTCGCCTACGCCACAGGCAACTACGAATATGGGACGGACTTTAGGAAAAGCGAGATTGACAAGATCGGCGACATGTTAACCTCCTGTCTCGACCAGACTGGGGACAAGGCGATCCTCTGCGAACGGAACGAATGCAATGGGAGAGCTTCCCAGATGTCGGAGTTGGAGGATGTCACCTTGAAAACGACACCGGTCGACGACACGGGCTACGTGACAAATCCGCTTCATCATTTAATTGAAGTAGTTTGGCACGCCGTGGAGATTTGGTCGGTCGGTTGCATTCGAGAGTTTAGAGAGAGTTATTTGCTCTATCATGAGTTAGAGCAGGTGATGGAGAAATTGTTTGTGGGGGAAATCCGGAAATTGTGGTGAGTGGAAAATTTGATAAGAATTAAAAAAAATGTATACAAAATATTATAAAACTGAAATTTACAGGCACAACCCTTCCATCCCTCCAAATTACTATCAACACCTTCTCGGACCAAATGAGGAGATTCACATGTCAAATTTGAAAGACTGTGTCAAAGCAATTTATGAATCTAATCCGAAAGCTTTGAAACTAATCAGACCAAAATCCTCACCTCCGATTCAGCTCGGAAATACAATCAGAAACAGGAAGAGAACCCAGGAATTTTTTCATGAGCGCTTATCTAAATCTATTTTCTGTTCGAAAGAGCAATTTTGTCTGGATTGAATGTAAGGTTATTATTGCTATTAGTAAATTTTATTTGTCAAAAACAAAAAAAAAGTTAAAAACGTAACGATTATCAAGGCACAGGGTTTACTTATTGCAAGTCAATTTCTCAATTAGTTCCTGTAACGGAGCCAGTTCTTTTCTCTCGATTAAAGAAAACTCTTGCACAAAGAAAATGAAATGTTTGAACGATGTGTTGAGATGGGCTTCTTCCCCGAGTTGGACGACTTCGACGAAATGTTGGTGATAAATGTGGGCGTAGACCTGTGTATAAAATGCATAGATGAGGATAACAAAACTATTATAAATATATGTCACAAATCATGAACTTACGCGGAATAGTCGTTTTAAGATTGTTTTGGCAATCAGGACAAAATTCTTGGGAAATGGGACACCTAAAGAGAAAGTGTTTGGTAAGTTAGTCAAATCTACTTGTACTGCATATTTTATAGTACCAATTTTGGATGGAAACAGGCACTCGTCGTCTAGCTGGTCTTGCACCCAGGTCATTAAGTAATCTATATACTTTGGGGCAGAGCACTTTATAAAACACAAAAATTGTTAGTTGGTCATTCTACAATTTTTATATCTTAGTACGTTATTTTGAGAACAAAAATCACCTTTATCGGTTTCTTCACGACTTGACCATCTGCCCAGTGATATTCGTACTTTGGTCCGGCAGCCATCACAGGGCAGGAATCTTCTGTACAAAATTCGGTAATGGTTCCGTACAGCATGTTGATTTGGTTGAAAAAATCGACAGCTGTGGGGCACAATTCAGAGATAATTTTGTGAAAAAATGCTCAAGATTATACACATATACACAAATTTTTAGATATCTCGTATGTAATTCTACTCACTATTAACAGCAATCCACTCATTGAGATCCTCGCCTTCTGGCAGCATCACTGCTAATCGAAGATTTCCACTGCCCAAGGTGGCTGCCGCATGTTTCATCAGGTCATATTGGTGCGTTCCTTCAGGGATATGCTTTTTGGGTTTGAATGTCTTCGCAGTACGAGTTCCACTAAAATAGCATGATAAAATATGCAATTAATATAAACTCTATTATAACTAACTAACAAACCTATAAATGAACAGTTTAATTTTAAAAACCTGCAAAAAAACGTGAGAGCCATTGATACATTCCGCATATTAATTAAAATCAAGACAATTCAGCTAAAAATAAGTCAAACGTCAAACTAAAAATGCAAAACAAAAGACGAAACGCAGCAGAAAAACTTGAATGCATGACTTTTTAAATAACTATTAAATGACGCCAATCAAATACAGCAAATATCTAATTTTACACTTTAAACTTTATTATGCAAAATTTTAATTCGTGCAATTAAAAACCAACACAATGTAATGTAAAATACAAATACAAATCAAAACAATGCACCACTTACAAGAGGAAGCTCATCTTGGATAACCTTCCACTCGCCCAATTTCCTTCCGGTTAATGCTCAACAATTAATAATTACGCCACGACATTAAATAAGCTAAACTAATTAACGATGAAATATATATTTGTTTTAAAATATAGTAATTTTTGATATTTTAGAAAAAGTTAAACTTTTTACGATAAACTTTTTGTGCATTATAACAAAAATACAGTTTCTCTCTATTGTGCAATTCAAACTTGGGTGAAGTGAGGATCCCGTTAAAAAAACCTTCGCTGGATTTAGGATCAGATCGGAGAATGATGATTTGTTCATTTATTTATTTAATTAAACATTATCAATTCTCGACCACCACGAGACAAACAGGGTTTAATTAAAGTTAACAGCAGTTAAGGGGAGTGCGATTCATTCATATTTTGAGTGATTTACACAAGTATTACGCAATTTGTAGCAAGAGAAGAGTGCGTGAGTTACAGACAACAGTTTTTTAGTAAGTAAAACAATTTGTTTTAAACAAATCAGCTATTTAGTTGTAAGTTTTTCTTTTTAAATTTCCAAGTAAAGAAAAATACTTCCCAATTTTGCAGTTTACATGTCACATCATCTTACTTATCTTGAATTTGATTCAAATTATTTGAAACGTATTTTTATAAAGCGAGAGTTTAATAATTAATTAAACTTTAATTTAATATTTTCTGGTCAATTTAAAATTCAATGGATCAAGTAATTTCGTAATATTTTAATTCGAAAAAATACGGCACGGCTGATTTTACATTTATTTCATGTATTTATTTCATGTATTAAATGTATTATTTCATAGAAATGTTTTCAAATTTTAACCTATTGATTGAGTCGTTATTTTAGCTGTTACGCATGCAATGACATATGGTTTATTTAATAAAAATGCACTTATTTTCAGTAATACATTGTCACCTGTCGTGTCGGAATTCGCAACTCAACCAAAAATGGAAGCACTATCTCACCTGATAAAAGAAACACTTCCTAATTACTTGAGATCCTTGCCGGTGCCAAGCTCATTCACAGGGATATTTAAACTATCACGTATGTAATCAATTAATATGATTTTTTTCATTCATTTCAATGTGATAATTTTGTACAATAATTAAACTACTTATTATATATAGCGTCCGAATGGATTCAGATGACCCCCATTATTACTCTACTAGCTCTTCCGACCTACTACCTCGCGAGGGCTTATCGGTCCAACGAGGAACTTCGGCCCAGTACAAAAGTTAATCTCAACGTTAACAAGCAATCTTCCAAAATCGTGGATACCGCAGATATTGAAGATATTCAGAAATGCGACGGAAAGAAAGCTGTCTACTGTCGATGCTGGCGTTCGAAAAAGTTTCCAATGTGCGACGGAAGCCATAATCAACACAACGAAGTCACTGGAGACAATGTTGGACCGTTAATTGTAAAAGCCTAAACTTGCATGCCATGCAAATTCGCGTAGTACATTATACTAAAAAATCTTGCCTAGTGCTACAGCAAAAGTGTAAAGAAAGTGATGCAAACTTTAGTTAACTATTAATTACTACGTAGTGTTCTACACACAAATTATAAATTAATTAGCAATTACTTACATTGAAAAAATGTTAACTCTTTAATAATTCAGTTTTAATTTCATAGAATTCCCGGTGTTTAATAATTCATACCAAAAAAGAAACTGCTCAATAATTTAACTTTCCCCAGCCCAACTTTCACTTTAAAATTATTTCCAAATTATTTAGAGAACCCGTAAAAATTCATGAAAAAAACGAGAGCTTACTATAACTGTACGTATTACATAATATTAAACTTCGCCACAAAATATATATGAAATGAAATCTTGCCAAAACGCTTATGCAATATGCAAATTTTTTCAGACAATTGCACCAAAATCTCTCTTATCGTGACACGATCTCCTCCCTCACCCAAAAAACTTTGACCAACCATTTCTTGCTTATCTTATCTCTATTCATCACCGTGCTCATCATCCTCCTTACCACCACCATCATCATCTTATTCTTGTTATATAAGAAAAAAACCTCACCTTGCCTGACTTGATTCCACCCAAATTCTGTTCTCGTGAAGCACTAGAAAAGTGCATAGCAACACGAAATCCACACCGGGATCAGCCCAACGCCATCTCAACTGCTAATTTCTCAACTGTTTTAAGCCCCAAAATAAATACTGCTTTCACTTTACACACAAAATCAAGAAGACAAACATTTTAAAGTTTTAAATAGTGTATAGTTAGTTGTAAAATAATTAATCCCGATAACCTGCTCACCACTCTCTTCCCCCCACACTTTCTGTCCCCCTTCTCGTCCTCCTGGAGCATAATTAAGTCAAGTTATTAAACCCGTGAAATAATTAGTGTTACAATTCACGTTTCCAAAATAGCTCCATTCAGCACAGCGGTTTATAAATTATTCAATAAAATGTCCTCAAATATAATAAAAGGTTTAGTGTCTAAACAAAGGAGAAGATTTAAACAGGACGGATTTGATCTTGATCTCACTTGTAAGTTTGTAACAGGGAAGGTTTTTTATTATTCAGAAAGTAACATGATTTTCGTACTTTCTCTTCTTCAGATATTCTCCCAAACGTGATTGGTAAGTCGGTATGAGTTTTAAAGGCTTGAAATGAATGCCGGGATGTGAAAGATGGTTTATTATGAAGTGTTTTGAGGGTTAGTTTGGCTAATTTTGACTTTTTTATAATAAAACAGCAATGGGCTATCCTGGAGATAAAATTGAAGGTCTTTACCGCAACAATATTGATGATGTTAACAAATTTTTGGAATCTAAACATCCCGGACATTATAAGATATATAACTTGTGTGAAGGTATGTGAGTGCTATTAAAGAGGTGTGGTTATCGGATGGATTTTGCTAAAGTGAAAGTGCAACGGGTTTAATGAATGTTTTCATTTGTGATTTAGAACGAACGTACAACACTTCAAAGTTCAAATCCGGCACGGTAGCACATTATCCCTTTGTGGTAAGTTATCAGATTTACGAGTCTTTAGTTTCATACTAAATTATTAATTGAAACGAGTTCATATCATTGATTTTCTTTCTTTGCAGGACCATAATCCTCCTCAGCTGCAGATTATTCCTGATTTCTGCAATGATGTGGATGAATGGTTGCGCCAGAATCCTCATAATGTTGCTGTCGTACATTGTAAAGCGGGGAAGGTTAGTACATATTTTTTAAAGGATTGACTAGAAGTTAATTATAGTCTGGAAGATTGTTGTTAATAATTGAAACTTGTTTAGGGTCGTACCGGTGTAATGATTTGCTGTTACTTGCTTCACTGCGGCAAGTTTTCTACGGCGAGGGAAGCTCTGAAATATTATGCTCAAGAGAGAACGCATGATCGCAAAGGGGTCACCATACCCAGTCAGCAACGGTACGGTCAAGTTTAATGGATAATAGCAAACGAATAATATGAAACATGTGTAGCGAATGATTTTAATTTCAATTTGATTTTCATGCAAATTAGGTATGTCCAGTATTACGAAGATTTGAGAAAGCAGAGAACTCAGGGTGGACATCAGCATCGAAACAGTGATAGTAACGGGTGCTTGGGAAATTTTGATGGGTGAGTGGGCTTAGTGATAACCACTAATCGATCAATACTTTAAAAAACTTTACAACTTTAAAACTATCCTTTGTCGACTTAGGCTGATGCTTACGCACGTCCAGGTGAAAGGAACCCTTCTAGAAACCATGACATCGAACGGTAGGTCAAAGACTGATCATTTGACACTGATATTTACGTGTGGAAGTACTAATTTGCTGATTATTCTGAATTCACGCAGACCTCTTAACCGAACTGTACATCACGATAACCAATAACGCCAAAGTGTATAGCACCTCACCCTTTACCCTCCTAAATCAACGCAGCCGGCACTGCAGCAATAAACTCGTGTTGGACAATCCCATCCATGTCACGGGAGACATGAAAATAGAACTTTATTCCAGACCTAAGATTACACTGACGAAAAAGAAATCAAAGATGTGCCAAGCGTGGGTTAACACACAGTTTTCCGAGGAACTTTGTGACCTGCATTTAGAATTGGAAGAGGAATGTCGCAGAATAAGGTACAATTGATGCATTTAGCTGTTTAAGATAAATAGTAATTACAAATAAATTGTGTTCGGGATCAGATTCGTCGTATAATTCTTTATTACAATTATTGTATGTCTTTATTGCAGTACTTCAGTAACAACAACTACACTCAACACAGCTACCTCATGTGAAAAGAACGGTGGTCTCTCACTATCCGCGTCTACAACAAATTGCATAAATAAATTGCACGCTTCCGGTTCACCGGTCGCCATGTCCTGCCCTCCTCCGAGTGATTCAAGTAAAAATAATTACTAAAAAAATATAAACAGTATAATATTACATCACATTAATTATTTCATTTGATTTCAGTGAGACCTAGAATTCCTGATATTTGGAAGAGGTACATAAAAACAACTTCTACTTTCACCACTAAAATTATTCATTTAATTTTTAATTGTACATTTATTATAATCCTTCTCCTTGTCTTACAGGACCAGCCGAGGATCTGGCTCCTCTCCCACTTCCTCTACCCATCCCCCCTCCCCGCTAAACCTTTTACCTCCACCCAACCGCATAATAACGTTAACAAAACCCGACCTGGACAAGGCCCACAAGGACAAAGCCAATAAGATCTTCTCGCAAGACTTTCAAATATCGTTACTCTTTTACTGTAACGTTAATTTGAGTAGTACGCAGCTTTAAAAATTTTTAATTAAATAAGTAAAACACGGAGGCTACGAGGAGAGAAAGTTATATAATAATAATAATAAAAAAGACCTGAATTACAAAGGTTATCAAATTTTGAAACCTTCACCGTCGTCAATTTGTCTACTATATAAAAAATACTATTACTCAAACTCCAATAGATACAAAAGTGTGGTGTGTGCGGTAGTAAAAGTAAAGGAAAACAAAAGTGAAATTACTCACTACTAAAATCTCATTCATTCTCACCAAATGAATGAGATTTACACTGAAATGTACTACTAAACACGAGAACTTGACACTTGTTGAAACCCAACCACCACTTTCTTCTTCTTCCATTCCATTATTCCAAAGTTATTACAAGGTTCAAGTTTACGAATTTACGATACGATGATCGTAGCAGTTAAGTTAATTACTTATTACTACTAGAACGTACTAGGGGGACGTATATTTGTATGATGTGTCGTGATATCAAATATCTCGATGAATATCACTCACTCACTCACTTACACACACACATGGAAAGTCACTTTACTACTACTACGATTATTTACAATGATATTAAACATTACTCTTTACTAGCGAGATGATGCAGGTCAACTTAAAGTCATACACACACATCTTAATATGTAGCAAGCGTAACATGATCTCTTCTCAAATTCAATACCAAACCAAACACCCGAAACATACATAAAATAAAACCATGATCTTTGAAATAATAGTAATAAATAAGAATAATAATAATAATAATAAACTCTAGTAATAAATAGTTGATCTAATTCATCTCGTATGAAAAAAATAATATGCATGCATCGCAACTACTTATCTATGTATGTAGTAGTTAAGTATAAAAGAGTAAGTAAAGTGGTGGTGGTGGTGATGGTTCTTGTAATTGAGAGAGAGAGATAGAGATGCAAATGGAATGGAAACCTGATTCGAAAGCCTGGGGGATGTGACAATATACGCAATAAAAGAACGAGACAAGACAACAATACGAGAGTTTTGGTTCTTTTAAGTTTAAAGTCTGCACCATATAAGCTTCGCGATTTCAAGCAGTGGCCGCGGACAGAGGGACAATGTCCCCACGGTTGTTCTTCGATGTCCCCATCTTATGTTATAATAACCCCTCCCTTCCCCATCCTACAAATTTAATGTCCCCAGTCACGGCTTCCGCGGCCACTGATTTTCAAGTTTCAACTTCCTTTGGCTAATACGCGTCCACTCTTTTTTTATTTATCAGAAGAAATCGAATTCGATAAAATCTAGGCTACGCACTTCTCCTATGTCAGATAATTTTTTGAGATGGACTCGTTTTTCCCATTAGTAAGAAGACTCTATCATCATCAAATAACCTGATTTCTCGTGGGTCGTGGTCGTGGTCATTTCGAATTTATGCAGGCATAAGCACATACAAGGCTGCACATGCACGCTTTACCATAAAAAGTGGGTACGCGTAAAATGTTACAATGTTGATGTTGTTGATGTTTTTATCCTGTTAATTTTAAATTGTTGTCCTTTATTCAGTCAGTCAGCCAGTTGTGTTTTTAGCGTGAACAAAGACGTACCTACTACGCGTATTTGTAGGAATTTGTCGGAATTTCTGGCACTGGGCCATGCTTGAGTTATATCATCGGGTCATTTTTCAAGTTTTCATTAGCCTGTTGATGGCAAGCCATTTATTTTGACGACACTTAATTAAAGCACAATGTGCGTTTTTCTTCTTAAACAGCGTGTTAATTAGTGCGACTTTCTCCTCTAACCATGAATTTACACTTTAGCTGCAGTGCCAAAATTGTTTGGTGGATATTTGCACTTGCGGTTCATCATTGTCTACCCGGAACTTTGTCAAATGGTATGCATACAATTTGGAAACTTATAATTTCATAAAATATATGTAATTATCATAATTTTAGAAACTGTATACCTCGAAAGCTACCCCAGCTACTCGGTAGTACTTCCCATATCTCATGAAACGCCACGAAATGAGACATTTTTAGTCCAATCGCCACGATTTCATAGGGTCATGGCTGTCATCCAGTTTCTCAACATACCACCAAAGAACGACTTCAGCTGCGGCGTCTTTCTCCAAGTAAGTAAATTAGAAATATTATGTATTCAATTATGTATGAAAATTGAAAAAAATAATTTGGCACGAGATCTTCGACTGACAGGACGACGCCAAGTATTTGACACTTGTTTGGCCAGAATCCAAGTTTGCTTGTCATTACATAAAAGCTTAATTGCATAATAACAAATAAAGTTGAAATTATTCATGAATGATGGTTAATTATTTGATTTCAATTTATGTATGTCTCTAGTTCCAGGATGGCGCTGATCAACGAAGTGCCAAAATTTGTGGAAATTTTGACCCTGATGAGAAAACGTTTTCGCCATCGTCACTCGTAGGTCCGAGGACTTATCTCTCGTCCAGAAATTCGCTCCGTGTCTCGTTACTCCACGTGACGACGGGAAAATTAGAAAATTCCTATGCCAGAATTTCCTTCACTGCTTTCAGAGGTGACGAAAATGCATAAATAATGGACAAAAACGTATCGAAAATTGTTTTAATTTCACATAATTTTTTTTTACATTCAGATGACTGCTACTTTCTCCAGCCTCGCGGAAACAACACGGGAAGTGGAGTTAGTTATCCGCGTTATCGGCCCTGCGAATATGCCATTTCTTCCGATGGAATTGGGCGACAATGTATCGTGTCATCCCTATTTTGCGACAATGTCATTCATTGCGCTCCAACGGACGAGAAGAGTGGGACAGATTTTGGGCAGGATGAGTCCGAACTAAACTGTCCTCATATTTATCATCAGCAGCAATCCATAATTCTACCAGACGCTACGGTATCATCCTCGCAAAAAGAGAATGAGGCTGAGAAACGCGGACAAAATAGCAATAATCATGATGATAAGATTTTTAAGAGATTCTTTGATGAGCGAGAAGAACATTTAGCAAATTTATTCAAGTCTGCGATTATTGGGTTTGTTGGGATTTGCACGATTTGTATTCTTGTAGCGTTTGTCATTTCAATATTTTGCTGGAAACAGAAGCAGTACCATTTAGAGCATCAGGGTCCACAATCCTGAAAGTGAGAATCTTTACGGAAATTTTATGCAGCTAATCTTCACCATTCCGAAATACTGTTAATTTATTAATTGCAAACCAATATCGCATTGGTTGACAAAAATGGATGATATATTTTTTTTAAATTATTAATAATTATTCCCTGTAACTCGTCTGTTATTGTGTTACTAATTTACTATTTTTCTTAGGTGAAGCTATGGTGATCTAATGATTAAAAAACACCTAAGTATGCATTTACTACAACGTTCAAAAGTGACAAAACCACATTACTTTACCATTTCTTAACCGATTTTTGTGAAATAAGTGCCGAGAGTTAATTATGATGGTCTACTTTTGGATTCCAACTCTGGTCGGTTGTGAGCCTACCCATTCCTGAGATATTCTCAAAAAACACCCTCCAGAAAGTGACATTGCTTCCTATGAAAAATTTGAAGGGCTAAATCAAAAATGTACTCGGAAAAAAAGTTTCTAAATATTTTTAGCTTTCAATAAACCTTGAGATCATCAAAATCGGATAAGAAATGACCACAATATTCATAAATGCAAGTACCACTGCGCACGTGGTGGTATTGCATATTGCTATGGTTCGTTGCTATTGCAAGTATTTTAATCGCAATTCCCTTCGCTTCACCTAAGCCGCCCGTTTTAGGGATCTATCTTGTTAAATTGTATGATTAAAGTTTTGAGACATGCGCATGATAAAATGCCTCATTTATGTAAATTAATAATTTTGCATATTATTTGTCTTAATGATCACGAAGTATCAAAAAGTCAGGTTACGAATTATTACGTACTCATCCATTAATATTGGCAAATGTGTTTATCCCATTTAGTGTCCAGTGCAGTCCAACAAAAACTTATTTCCAGACAATTTCATGATTTTATTATTATATTACATACATACGATTATATAGTAGAACTGCGTCGGAGAAGCAGAGAGTGACCACGTCAGCGTCTCATTTATGCATATTCACTCAGGTGATGAAGACTTTGCTCCCCCATTGACAACAGTATATCGAGAAAATTTGGTATGAATTGATCCTCTATTTTTATCAAACTAACTTTCGCACTTTTTTATGTGTATAAAGTAAGTTTACTTCATAACAAATAACTATTGTTACAGTGACAGCGTCACAAGGTCCCAAAAATATTGTCACCGATGTCAAACCCATTGCACCATCATGTTCCAGAGCTTCAGCAGACCGAAGACCATCGTGCTTTGAACGGATAGACGGACAGAAGGGCCACAGAGCTGTATATATCAAGGGCTTATCAACCACAGGACCTAGGTTCAGTAGAAAATAAGTTCAAGTTTAATACCTATAGGGATACTGGGGACTGTATGATCCGGGTAAAATTTTACATCATCATCGTCGGTCTCAGACTCATCTTCTTCAGGGTAGAGGATAAAATTTACCAGTAAAATTAGTACAAGGCGGCGTCTTGATAATATCAGTGTCTTTGGTAATTTTCGGTGGGGGTGGTCACCCTACCTGGATTTTCCAAGTGTTCTCCCCCCCCGAAAACGGGGTCTACTTCGATTTTGTGTACTTTTTTACAAAAAAATTCCCCAAATTTGCGAGAAATTTTCGAATATACATACATATCCAGTAATTTTCGCAGAGACATTCGAAAAATTGTCCTGAAAGCGTCCATCGGGGTCCGGCCGGCCGGTGTTCTTACCGGAATAAAATGCAGGTAACGCAGTATCTTCATCGGGTGAGTTTGGGTAAAAAAATCAGCATCATCTTCATAAGTAGCTGGCGCCTTCAACTTTGCACTTACTGGTCGGCGATTTCAAATTATTGTTTTTTTCTCCTGGGCAATCTTATCCTGTTGGACCACAAATCTGTATGTATCAAAGGATAATCAAGCACAGGACCTAGCTCAGGGTTGAGTAGAAAATGAGTCAAGTAAAGTACCTAAAGGGATTGTGCTGGGGACTGCATAATCCGGGTAAAATTTGGGATCATCATCATCGGTCTCATGCTCATCTTCTTCAGGGACCAGACCAGTAAAATTACTGCAATACGGCGTCTTGATAATATCAGTGTCTTTGGTAATTTTCGGTGGGGGTGGTGAACCTGTCTCCATTTTCTTAAAAGTGTCTTCGAAAGCGGGTTCTAGTTTATTTTATTTTTTATAATATTGGTTACAAAAAAATTACCGTCAAGAGACGAAAAGAAATTTCCGATAAATTTTCGAATATACCTACCTATCCGTAATGTTCGTACGAACAATCGAAACATTGTCCTGAAAACGTTCATCTGGCTCCGGCCGGCCGGTGTTCTCCCCCTTTGGACAATAAGAAAATGCAAGAAATGACGCAGTACCTTCATCGGGTGAGTCGATTTTGGTAAAAAAAATCAGCATCATCTTCATAAGTAGCTGGCGTCTTTTCAACTTTGCACTTACTGGTCGGCGATTTTAAATTATTTGCTTACGCCTGAGCAATCTTATCCTGCTCTTAATTGGACCACAAATCTGCATATATCAAAGGCTTATCAACACAAGACCTAGCTTAGGGTTCAGTAGAAAATGTGTCAAGTAAAGTACCTAAAGTGATACAGCGCTGTGGTGGGGACTGCATAATCCAGGTAAAATTTTGGATCATCGTCGTCCGTCTCATACTCATCTCTTTCGAGGACAAGAGCAGTAAAATTTGTGCAATAAGGCGTCTTTATAATATCAGTGGTGGCGACCCTAAAGTGTTATCCCAAAACAAATTTTAGTTTAATTTTTTACATAAAAAATGCCGTAAAAAATTGAATGTTTGCAAAATTAATCGTCATCGGGTGAGTCGATTTGGATAAAAAAAATCGGCATCATCCTAATAGGTAGCTGGCGCCTTTCAACTTTGCACTTTCTAGTCGGCGATCTTAAGTTACTTCCTTCCGCCTGAGCAATCTTTTCTTGCTCTAATTTCCATTCCAGTTTCATGACCCGATACCGAATAGAAGTACTGGATTTTGTAACGAATTCAGCTCCAAGTTGTGAAGTCTGATTTCATGAGCAAAACAGTAACTAATTTGTATATACGAACGGCTTTAAACAAAATCATGCTTTCCCCTGTGACGCTCGCGGTGAAGGAGGAATAAATTCTTGTCGTTGTACAACATCGGACAGCGTAAACTACGCATTTCTCCTGTTAAAAACTGTCAAATTTTAGTATTTGTCATATGTAACAAGGCGTACAATAAGTGTTCATAACTATGTAACTCTATTGGCCGGTGTTCTCCTCCCTATGCATAATAAAATGTAGGTGACGCAGTACAGACATGGGATGAGTCGATTTGGGTAAAAAAATCAACATTATCCTCAAAGTTACTGGCGCCTTTTGAACTTTGCACTTACAAGTCGGCGATTTTAAATTATTTTTTTCTCCTGAACAATCTTATCTTACTCTAATTGGACCACAAATCTGTATATATCAAAGACTTATCAAGCACAGGACCTAGCTCAGGGTTCAGTAAAAAATGAGTCAAATAAAGTACCTAAAGGGATACAGCGCTGTGCTGAGGACTGCATAATCCGGGTAAAATTTTAGATCATCATCATCGGTCTCCTACTCATCTCTTTAGAGGACCAGACCAGTAAAATTAGTGCAATACGGCGTCTTGATAATATAATACCCTGCCTGCAAGTGTTATCCCAAAACGAATTTTAGTATAATTTTGTACATTTTTGCTAAAAAAAATGCCGTAAAAAATCGATGAATTTTCGAATGTTCAAAAAAATTTCCTGAGTACCGTCACCGGGTGAGTCGATTTGGGTTAAAAAAATCGGCATCATCCTCATAAGTAGCTGGAGCCTTTACAACTTTGCAAATTTTGGTCGGCGATTTTAGATTACCTCCTTCCGCTTGAACAATGTTTTCTTTCTTCCATTCCAGTTTCATGGTCCGATACCGAATAGCTTCAATAAGTACTGGATTTTGTAGCGAATTCAGCTCCAAGTTGTTAAATCTGAGCAAAGCAACAGTAACTTACTTGTACGAACGGCTTTAGACAAAATGATTCTTTCCTCTTAAGCCGTTCGAAGAGAAGGAGGAATAAATTCTTGGCCTTGTCGGTCCTTTGGGACAACGCATTTCCCCTATTAAAAAATGCACAATTTTAGTATTTGCTGTATGTAACAAGTGCGCACAATAAGTATACATTACTATGCAAGTCTACGGCATACGATCTTTTCCTGCTCTAATTGGACAAAAAATTAGTCCTTGATGGATTTTGAAGCTCTGGAAGTTCCACAGCTTCAAAATAATTGCTGACAGACAAGAAAACTGGAGGTTTTTGCAAACTTGCATGTCCTAAACATGTTGTAACCGTTCTATGACCTTATACTGTGACTTTGAAACTCAGAATGTTTGGCAGCTTTGAATTCCATTCTAAATGAAGTGTTTACACTCTAGGGTTTTGATTTCTGCTAAGAAATCTTTGATAATGCAATAATGTGCATGTGTCCATTCATTTCATGCAAAACTGGATCATAATCCAATACCTGGGGAGACCTCGTCTCAAAATGTGTAATAATAGCAAATCTCGTACCTCTCTTAACCCTAATTTTAACAACATCTCTCCTTCTCAAGTAATAAATAATAAATAAAATCGATTACACACTAGCTCAACACTTTAATTCATATATACACATATTCAAGTATACAATACATATCTCTTTCTCCTATGCATGCAACCTTCCTACCAAATCATCAATTTCATTCTCTTTGTTGTACATAAGCACTTACCCATCCATCCATCCATCCACCAACTCGAACTTAACCACAAAAGTCCATTTAGGTATTGTTCTCTCTGAAAAAGTATCAAGTCATCATTTCCTCGTTAGCACTTAAACAACACAACATAATATATTTTGTATTAAGCATCTTTGTTTGTATTGGAAAATGGTTTAAAATTTTCCAGACCAGGTGAACTATACTTACTCTGAAATTATTCTGGGCCAACATTATTACCAAAATTTGACGAGAAAACCAAACCAAACCACAAAACGAAAACACAGGCTAGACAGACCATCCAATAATGTAGTGTAAACGCCACAAAATTTTAAATAAGGTCCATTTTTCTTCCGTAGCGTGAATCAATCAGGACGACCCGAGAAGTGTTCATGAACTCTCATCCCCTTTGGTAGGGACTTGTTACATGCACAATATTTTCCAATAATTGACTGGCTCGTCGGGTCTGGTCGCCACCATTATTTCCTCATTTTCTCACCAATACAAGGCTGAATTTTAAACAAAAACCAGGAAGGAGAATACTGATCATTTTTAAAAGTTCATGTACATACGACAATCAACATCTTTTTAAGTGAGGAAAGTGAGAAAAGGAATATTTTTAAGGTTGGGGAACTCAAGAGTGGATAATCAAATCACTCCATTTGAGCAATGTCCTCACTTATCTTTCACCTTATCATTGTCTTTTTAGAAAAATGGGCATAATTTACATACATTTTACTATCATAATCTCATCCATGAAACGCAATAAGTATGAAACACTGTCCATCCACTGTCAAAAAATGTGCCATTATTTCCTCATTTCCTCTCCCCAGTAAAAAAAACAGGTGTGCAATACCACCTTGTCCTTCCATTCATCCCAAATCTTCTCTAATAAGTAAGATAAGTAAATGAATGAGCGGAAAAGAGCAATTCTCGAATGTGTTACTAAAATCCTACTGAAAAAGGTAAGTAGTGGTGGTCTTCCTTGTCGGAAGAAGAAGAAGTTCAACTAATTGCAGTCCTGGTCAGCTCCGTTTAAGGAAAAAGTCGCTACTTTTTCTTCCCCTTCTCGGAAGATTGGCTGAGAGGAAGTGACGCTTTAAGGAGGTGGTTGGTTGGTTGGTGCCACCCTCTAATTTGGTCGCAGGGTAGGAAAGGTTACCTCATTTAGCACGGTTGACGGTCTTCTAGTGGTATTATAGAATCATTACCAAAATCATCGTCATCTTTGGAAATATCCAGGAGAGATAAAGTCAAGTTTGCTTGTTTCAAAAGTCCAGAAAAGCAGGATGTCGTGGTTTCTTCAGGACTCTTCACCTGTCCAAAATGACAAGCTTTTTAATGCACAAATCATTCTAGTTTGATTCAATTTTCTGCCCATTTTTTCTTTCTCCACCGACGTGAAACCAGATGGTGGTGTGGTGTGGTGAGTGACTTTTCTTAATAAAATATACCTGTACGTACATCGTCCAAAATGTATGATAATCAAATCTCTGTCTCACATTTATCAATAATGGCATACAGAGCATTGCTACTTTACTTACCTTGTTGATTTAGCAAGACCAAAAGCAAGACGTGACTTTGAGGTTGAGAGATCACATCACAAAAATAAATCTGGGATGAACATAAACTAGAAAAAATTTCCATCCTGCCAGACCGATAGCAAATTAAATTATGGATGAATGCTCCTGAGCAGAAAATAATCCATGAAATTGTACCACACTTTGCAATGCGTCAAATTAACACGCTCGGTCCCAGGTTAAGCTTCTCTCTTTTTTTATAAGAATCTCAGATGCAGGAGGAAGAGACGCATTTTTCATCATCACTTTTTTTAAATTCATGAAAAGATTTACGACCATAATCTCATCATCACCTTCTTATAAATAAGATTTTTATAAGATTGTCGTCTTTCTAGATACATAAAATTGGGGTAGAAAAAATTAGGAAAATAATCCAAAATTGGGTTTCATTCATATTATGTAAATTTTTTAAGAAAAATAAAAAAAACTGTAACACAACACAAGAAGAAGATTGATAAATGATTTTAAATCTGAATGAACGGAAACAATTTGGATCGACTAATTGAGCGTGTTTCCTCAAATCTTTTGAAATTTTGTGTACCGCAAAACACTTATCATTGAGTGAGTAAAATTCTGCTGTAAAATGGTTACTTGCTTCCTTTTCAGTCAGTTTGTTTAGCCACACCGTGCTCATTTCACGCTTCATTTCAATTCAGTCAGTGTTCTTTCTTGGCCTTTTTGTGGCGTTATTATATTGACAATGAGACAGAAGAAGAGTCCACCGCACCGCCGTGTGGGATGAAATAAAGAAGAGAGAGAAGAATGGATGGAGGAGAACAATGTGTTAAATAAAGCCAAGACCTTTGTGAAGGAGGTGAACAATAGGAAAACAATGATGATGGTGTAATACGGGATTAAATTAAGCTGCTACTTGGCCCAGGCTGTTGGGGGTTGTTATCACTTTACCACTTGATTTCCAAGTCGTTGAGGAGGATGAGTATTTGTAGGGGTAAAAATCGGTCTTCTACAGTTTTCGAAAATGGACGGATGGACCGACAGGCAGATAGATAAGCCATGGTTCCGGATGATAAGGACAAAAATTGGTACGAAAAAGTTTATGATATGAGTTATCGGACGATAATAAGTATTGCTGTATAATGGCGCAGATATATTTTTATTCCAAGCTTTCGATACTTGTATCATCTTCAGGGGAATTTTTTTAGAAATCGAAAAACTGATAAGATAAATGTAAAATGAGAGAAGGAATGAATAGAGATTTCAAAATTTAGTAAATTGTAACGCCATTGGGAAATTTTTTAGAAATCGAAAAGCTTATTTGATAAATAATTGAGAGAAATTAATTGAGGTTTCAAAATTGTTGGTAAATTTTAACGCCATTGTAAATTTTAGCCAAAAAGTAATGCGAATAAATATCGCAGATTTAATTTCTTCTCCGTCCTAAGTTGGTGCATAAATAAATGTGTTTAATTTTCGTGTAATATTTTGTCCCTCATTATAAAAATATGATTCCTAAATATAAAAAAAACTGTCAATGAATATTTCCTCAATTCTTAATTTCTGTCCAACTTTCCCTTAATTTTTCCCATATTTTTTTCCCATCTACGTATGATTCATCCAACCCTACCAACCAATTCTTCCGAATTCCCTCCCACTGAGCAAATAAATAGGCCGGAAAAGATCTAACAGAAAAAAATGAGATGGTCAGTCAGAAATCTTTTGCCCAAAAGTCAAAGATACCGTGAAGCTTGAAGATTTCCAGAAGTGTAATGTAATATATCTCTTCTTTCTAATTTTCTGGGAACCACCACACCACCACCTTGCCCATTATCTGAGAGAAAAGGTTGCAACTACAACAATTAGCTAACCAACCAACACAACAATGCTTCATTTTGCCTGCGTCGTTCGGTAGTCTGTTTCTCATTGTCTTCTTAAATCCACCACTGTCTCCATCCATCCACCTCTTATTATGTAATTTATAAATGAGGAGTATATAGCAATAATCTACTTGTGCAATAACGCGAAGACCGCACAGTAGTACAATCGGCGACTTTCTTTCGGACTTAATTACAGGAAACTTTGGTCAAGACAAAAACACCGGTCAAATTTTCCTTGATTAATTATCCTGACAAAATTATCCAGAAAATGGTCACAATTTAGGTAACCAACTATTAAAACGTTCCCTGTACCAGGACGACTGACGACTCATTACGGTCAGTGGCCGCGGAAGCATGGGGACAATGTACCTAAGGTTATTCAATCGTTGGCCAAGTTATGTATATAAACCCCTCCCCTATCCTACAATGTTAATGTCCCCAAATGTCCCCACGGCTTCCGCGGCCACTGATTAAAGTATTTATGTACATACTACCATTTACCCGGTCTGGCACCTTCTTGCACTAACAACAAACATGCAACATTTTCCTGCTAACAAATTGAATCTTTTTAGTATTTAACAAGTATGTAAAATGTAAAAGCGACTGGGCTGGAACGCTCAAATTTTGGAACATTCAACTCGTTTTCTATTTGTTTTTCGTAGTAATGAGCAGATTGCGTGTTGAGGAGTGTGTGCGCCTGGCATGATGACGATGCCTTGAGGGGGGTCTCCCTCAAGCGGAGAATGTGTGTCATATACATGCTTTACTTTTCATGTTTACAATTAAATTAGAAAATTATTATTGAACAAGGCTCAAGTTGTGGGGTGGAAGGAATTTGGTAGACTTAATAATATGCAAGGTGCCCCGTGTCTCGTTAATTTATCTCGAGTGGAGTTGACGTCAAGACGAAAACTGTGTATTTAGGGAGGAGAAAGGCATGCATGCAAACATAAATTCAAGATTGAAGTATTGTTAATCACGTCGTAATCTAAAAAGTTGATTTATTTAGCAAAAATTTTGAACTTTCAAAAAACTTATCCAAAAAATCATTTTTGACGCACAATTATTTGCAGTACCACGACCACCACCACCGACCGGGTAAAGACATTATCTGATCATTTCCCATCCCTACCTGTAATTGTTTCTCCTTTACTATTAATTCCTGCATCATTACCATATCTTGTCTCCACATCGTGGCAACTAACCAACAATTTCCGCCATAATTGCCTCCATCCATCCATTCACTCGTTCCTTCCCGATGTTGATGATTCCTCTTCCTCTTCTTCTCGAATTAGTCTCGGTGGGGGATCTTGTACAACAAAACAGTCGGCTTTTACCACAAGAAGGTGACCCTTTTCTGAAACAAGGCTCACTACGAGACTACTACTACCTCCGTAATTTCCTACCAAAACCTTGTCGTCATCTCCCCACCAGGCCAGAGGTAGGACCTACTTGTTGCAAGTCACTCCATAATATAATCTTTCCTCCTCTCCTTTCTCCCACTTTTGCCAACGTCACGACTCTCCAAAATAAAAATCTTACCCTAATTTCATCAGACTCTTGAGAAGAAAAACAGAAGAAGGACTTTATCGTAATAATTCACGGTCTAATTTAATCCGATGCGTCGCGTCTGTAACAAACAACAGTGGCCGCGGAAGCGTGGGGGACAATGTCCCCACGGTTGTTCGATGTCCGCATCATCTCCCCATCTTATACAAACCCCTCCCTCTCCCATCCTACAATGCTAATTCCCCCCAGATGTCCCCTCAGCTTCCGCGGTCACTGGTACCCAACCAACCAACCATCTGTCCCTTCCTCCGCACAAATTGAATCTCCAGCGTGAAGATGACGACAAGGACGACATAATGATATACAACTAATAAGTAAGTCTTGATGTGTGGGTGGCTTGTCCTCTTTTTATCAATAATTTCGTGTTTCAAATCAATCAGGAACAACAACATGTTTCATAAAATAAAGCAGCATCCTTTCATTCTCTCCTCATTTTTTTGTGTGGAATAAAATAAAACCAACAAGCCATCATCTTCTTCTTAAGGATGGGGTTCCTATCATTAAATATGAGACAAGGGAGCAAATTACTCACACACGTTATTATCATTACCATTATTTTATCAACGGCAAAAGCAGCAGCAGTCAGTCAGTCAGCATTTTGCGTGTACGTACACTTCAACATGCATGCTGTGACGACCAATTATGTCAATTTGTTCCCGGTTTGTTCCTAATAATAATTTACCCAATTTTCGCTCCTCGC